TGACCTCAAGTGATCCACCTCAGCCTCCCAAAGTGCTGAGATTATAGGCGTGAGCCACCACGCCCAGCTGTTAATCCAGGTTTTATATGTAGGCAGGCAGTATGAGGCATCCAGAGGTGCGAGGAGCTCAGGAACTTGCCTGAGGTCACAGGAGGGTAGTGACAGCTAACACGTGCTGAGTACTTAGTGTGCACCAGGTTCTCGGTGCTCTTCAGGACCCTGAAACAATCCTATGGAGCAAATGTGATACAGACTCGTATTTCAGATGAAGGGATTTGGCTCAGGGTGGTTACAGGACTTGCCTGAGGTTACCCGAGGTAAGAAGCAGAGCCAGGATTTGAACCCAGGCCATCGGGGTCCCAGGCGCACACAAAGCCCCTTCCTCTGCTGCCTCTGAGAAGTTAAAGTGGGTGCAGCGTGGCTGCGCTCTTCTCACAGAGGGACCCTGGGGTGGGGCGGTAGGGCCTCTGGACCGTCTTCAGTTTCTCAACGGCAGGATGGGAGTGGGTGACATCACCCCCAACTACCCTCCAGCGTTCACCCCCAACCCTGCTCACCTCCTCCCCACAGATGAAGTTCTCGCTGGAAAAGCTTCACCAAGGCATCACAGTCTCAGACCCTCCGTTGGATGCCCAGCCCCGGCCCGATGACAGCTTCTCCTGAGGATCCAGGTCACGCAGCTCTTCCCCCACGTGGACAGATGGACACACAGAGCCTTGGCGGCCACTGCTGGCACGGTGTGAGCGCCAGGCATCTCCCGCCCACCCCTCCTGACGGCCTGACAGGGGCCACGCAGACGTGGGGGCCATGGAACTGAGATGCACTTTATCCCAGGGAGCTGGCCTGGCCTCGGGCAGGGCCCCCACTAACTTATTTTGCCCGGCTGAGATTGTGGGGGGCGCCTCCTAGGGTGCACGATTCCCTCAGCTCTGGGTTTAATGTATTATATTTATTTGGGGCCAACAGTTCCCCAATAAAGGGTCAGAAGTGGCTGTGGCTGTGCCTGTGGGGCCCTGGGGGTGGGTGGGAGCCTCCTGTGGCACTCAGATCCTGCCGTGGTGGGGAGGGGACCTCTGTCTGTTTCCTGGGGCCATAGTCACTGAAACGATCTGGAATTCCCCCAGCATCTTACACAAGCTTTACATCATGTGAGGTCAGCGCAGGAACTCAGAGGACAGTCTGGTGGCCAGAGTTCAAATCCCACTTCTGAGCAGTCGTGTCACTGCAGCGGGTCAACCCTCCGGAGCTTCAGTGTTCTTTCCTGTACAATGGGTGGAATTACAGCACCCGTCTCAGGGTTGTTAGAAGGGAGTGGTTCTCAATCTTGAGCTGCATTCGAATCTGCTGGAGGGCTTGGTGCAAAACAGACTGTGGGGCTCCTCCCTCCAAATTTCTGGTTCAGTATGCCTGGGGCAGGGCTGGGATTCTGCCTTTATAACAAGTTTCCAGGAGACGCTTATGGTGCCATCTCAGACCACACTTTGTTTTTGGTTTATTTTTGAGATGGAGTTTCGCTCTTGTTGCCCAGGTTGGAGTGCAGTGGTGCGATCTCGGCTTACTGCAACCTTCATATCCTGGGTTCAAGCAATTCTCCTACCTCAGCCTCCCCAGTAGCTGGGATTACAGGCATGTTCCACCACATCTAGCTAATTTTGTATTTTTAGTAGAGATGGGGTTTCTCCATGTTGGTCAGGCTGGTCTTGAACTCCTGATCTCAGGTGGTCCACCTACCTCAGCCTCCCAAAGTACTGGGATTACAGGTGTAAGCCAATGTCCCTGGCCCTGTTTGTGTTAAGTTAGGGTTTCTCTGTCACCCAGGCTGCAGTGCAGTGGCACAAACATAGCTCACAGCAGCCTCAACCTCCTGTGCTCAAGCCATCCTCTCACCTCAGCCTTCTGAGTAGCTGGGACTACAGGTGTAAGCCACCATGCCTGGCTAATTTTTAATTTCTTTTTAGGGATGGGATCTTCACTATGTTGCCCAGGCAGGTCTCGAACTCTTGGCCTCAAGCGATCCTCCCACCTCAGCTTCCCACAGTGTTGGTATTACAGGCATGAGCCACCGCACCCAGCCCCAGACCACACTTTGAGAACCGCTATTATAAATTCGAGGAGTTCATAAATGTGGCTACTTAGAACAGGGCCTGGCACAGATGGAATGGAGTAAGTTTTCAATAAATGTTATGCTTATTGCATAAAAATAGAGGGAAAAAGTAACTCGTGTAGTGAGTACCAAGTAATGTACGTACTAGCTCTTTGCCAAGATCTGATGTTCATTTTATTCTCACAGTGACTCCACGAGGTAGAGACAAAAGATGTACATGCTGAGGCTACCCAACAGGGAGGCGGACTCCAGGCCTGGCCCCCGGAGTCTCCACATTTAGATTCAAGGTCCTAACCCCCCCAGGACCCCACCACAGCCCATTCAGGCTGAGATGGGTTGGATCCCTGTTTTACAGATGAGGAAATGAATGAGCTTGGAGGCAAAGTCCCTGGTCCAGGTAGAACCCAGGTCCACCTCGCTCAAACCTTGTCCTGGTTCCAGAGTGTGTGTGGGGTAAAGAGACACCTTTGACATGTCACACCACTGGCTATAAGAATCATCCTAACTGATGGCTTGAGGCAGGGGACTGGAGGGGGATTGGAGAGTGGAGGAGTGGCATAGGAGGTAGAGCCAGCAACTCCCACTCTCTAGCTGTGTGATCATGGCAAGGTACCCACGCCGAGCCTCAGTTTTCTATATCTGTAACATGGGTATAATAATAATGTCACCTATAGGAAAAATTAAATGAGCTAATGTTAGTAAAGTGCTTCGAATGCTTAGAAGCACCAAGCCCATACATAGTAGGTGCTCGCTGAAGAGCTGAATGTCAGTTTGTAAGGCATGCGAGGTGCTTCCTGTCCAATACTGAGGCCTGTCCTCACTGTGCCTTCGCCTACCATCCCCCACCAGAGGAAGGGCCCGGAACAGCAAGAGGATTATTTTCTGCCGGGGAATTTCACAACTCAGGAGGTGCTGGCATAAAGGTCTAGACCACAGAGGTGTCTGCTGTCCCTGGCTCCCTGCCCCTCTGCCATGGTCCTGCCTCACACCCTGGCTCGTCTTGCCTGGCAGGGCTGGGCCAGGGGGACTCTGGGACTGTACCCCACCCAGAATTGGGGGCTAGGACCTGGGTAGTGACCCTTCAGCCAAGAGTCTCACTCCCAGCCTGGTCCTGACAGCCCAGAACTCCCACCTCCATTCTCTCCATTTGGCAGAACCCACTGGTAGGACAGGCCACTCTCACCTGCTGGAGCAGGATTCCAGATCCATCCTAGCCCAGCTACATGACTCTGGGCAAGGGAGTGGCCCTCTCCCAGGCTCAGTTTTTTCATCTGTAAAATGGGGATAATAGAACTTGCTGAAGGTTTGAGGCAGTACAAGTGGATTCAGTGAATCCCAAGGGCTTAGTAAACATTGGCATTCATTTGTTCATTTGACAAATACGGATTGAATACCAGCAATGTGCCAGGAACAGTTCAAGGTGCAAGAGACATGGTGGTGCACAGGACAGTGTCCTTACCTTGAGGAATCTCTCTCTCTCTCTCTCTTTTTTTTTTTTTTTTTTTGAGACAGAACCTCCACCTCCCGGGTTCAAGCTATTCTCCTTCCTCAGCCTCCTGAGTTTGGGATTACAGGTGCACGACACCACTCCCAGCTAATTCTTTTGTATTTTTAGTAGAGATCGGGTTTCACCAAGTTGGCTAGACTGGTCTGGAACTCCTGACCTCAGGTGATCCACGTGCCTCTGTGTCCCAAAGTGCTGGGATTACAGTCATGAGCCACTACACCTGGCCCACCCCCCTTGTATTCTTAGGCTGGAGGGACAGGGGATAAACTAATGCCATAAAGGAAAAACATGGCCAAGCGTGGTGGCTCACACCTGTAATCCCTAGCACTTTGGAAGGCCGAGGCAGGAGGATCACTTGAGGCCAGGTGTTGAGGCCAACATGGTGAAACCCCGCCTCTACTAAAAAATAAAAATAAAAATTAGCCAGGTGTGGTGGTGCATGCCTGTACTCCCAGCTACTAGGGAGACTGAGGTGGGAGAATCGCTTTAACCCTGGAGGCGGAGGTTGCAGTGAGCCAAGATCCTGCCACTGCACTCCAGCCTGGGTGACAGAGTGAGACTCCCATCTCAAAAAAATAAACAGGAAGAACATAATGTCAGGTAGTGAGCGTGCTGTGAAAAACACTCAACAAGAGTAAAGGAGGTCAAATTAGGAGCTTGGGAGGCAGTTTACCCTGAAGGGACACGGAAAACCTGACGAAGGTGACATTGGATCCATGGAGGCAGAGGGAAAGTGGCGGGCCGAGGGGAGAGAAGCGGCCAAGGCCCGAGGCAGTAATGAGTCTTCTGTGTTGGGAACAGCAGGAGGGCCTGGACAGGCAGAGTGGAGTGGGAGGAGAGACGGGTAGGTGATATCAGGGACATAAAAGGGTGCAGGGGATCATGAAGGGATCCTCCTCCTGAAATGGCACTTCCAGATCCCCCCCGCTGCTTCTCTCCAGGGTGCCCTGCCTGCTTGGGTGAGGTCTGGATTGTATCTGCAGTCCTAGCCGGACAGTCCCCCACCCTCCTCTAATGCCTACTTGGAGTCCCTGCGCAGTGACTCCCGGGCCTGGATATCAGGAGAGGAGAGATCACTTGGTTTCCTCCCTTCAACTCCTGAGGATGACCTCCATCATTTGAAGTCGGAAACCCGGCCCCCAAACTGCGCTCCAAGTCCTCCTGTGACTCAGGGGGTGACCTTTCCCAGACTCCCTGGGAAGGTGGGGGTGGTCCCCAGAGCCCAGCGGGGTCGGAGACACCCGGACCACCTGTCCCGTTCCCAGAAGTCGCGGTCGCTACGCCACCCGGAGAGGCCGGTGCAGCGGGCGCCTCCCGGGCCGCTGCGGCAAAGGCTGGGCGGCCGCGCCCTCCCCCCGCGGTGATTCATCCCGCCCCCTCCCTCTCCTCCCTCCTCCCTCCCTAGGCCGCGGCCGCTGCCGCTGCAGTGCGCAGGAGACCGCGGTCCGCGCCCGAGCGCGCCGGAGCCGGAGCGGGACCGGGGTCGGTGCACCTGGCGGATGCGCCCGGCTGCGCGCGCCAGCGCAGCAGCCCGAGCAGCGACCGCCGCCCGCGCGGCGGGGATGCCCGGACGCCGGGCCCCGGGGCTGGGCCCCCGGCGGTAACCGGAGCGGGGGGGCCGCGCCCCCCCTCCTCCCCCTTCGCCGGTCCCAGAGCCGCAGCTGCTGCGCCCGCGCGCTCCCGGGGACATTCTAACCGCCGCTGGGTCCCACCGCCTCTCGCCCCGCTATTAATACCGGCGGCCCGGGAGGGGGGCACAGCGCGCGCCGCGCAGCCATGGGAAGGCTGCTGGCCTTCGTGGTCGGCGCGGCACTGGGTGAGTGCGCGGGGGGCGCCTGCGGCCGGGGGCACCGCGGGGGAGGTGGCGGGAGGCGGGAGTGACGCTCGGGACACCGGGCGGTCGCTGCAGGGCCGCCCCGGCCCATCCCCGGGCCCCGCCAAGTCCGATTCAGAAGTTGTGCGCGCGGGAGCGGGGCTTGGGGAGGGCGGTGGAGGTGCGGGTGGGCTCCAGCGGGCGGGGGCCGAGCTGGCACAGCCTCTCGGCTGCAGGCGCTCAGCCGGGGGCGAGGAAACGCGGAGTCAGCTGCTCCCGGAGCCCCGCAGGCTGCAATGTGACACCCACAGCCGCGGGAGGGGGGTGGGGGGAAGGCGGCGCCCGGAGACTGGGACGGGAGAGACGGAGGGACAGGGAGAGATGGAGACGGGAGGGAGGGGGCGCGAGACAGAGGAGGACTCGGAGTGCACCTGAGGAGGTCCGCTGGGAGGCTGGGGACATGGGGGTCAAGGGGAACACGGAGACTGAAAGAGGGGTATTGGAGAAAGAGAGAGAGTTGAGACTGAGCGGATGGAGAACGGGAAACTTGAGAGAGGCAGAAGGAGATGGAGAGAAGGAGGGAGATGGAGGTGCCCTGAACAGCGAGAGAGAATCTGGCATGGAGTTTGCAAAGGGAGAGACGTGGAAAGGTGGAAAGAGACCAGGAGAGGTCTCTTTCTGAGCCCAGAGAGTGGACACAAAGTGGAGGGACCTTCAGAGAGACCCCTGAGAGGGACAAAGATGGGAGGGACTGAGACAGAGGCCCTCGGGGAGTCTGAAAGGGCAGAGGAGGGGGGTGGATGAGAATTCCTGAGAATCGGGAGACAAGGACAGCATGGGGCTGGAGCAGAAGAGACAGCGTTAGCCACAGAGTGCTGGGAGGCAGGAAGGAGGCGCCAGGGAAGAGTGTGAAGGGGAAATTCAAACACTGGAATTCAGTGGGGGCACAAAGGCCCTGGTGCAGGAGAGAGATCAGGAAAGAGCTTTGAAGAGTGGATGGGGTTGGGGGTGGGAAGAGCTCTAGAAGCGGGGAGCCTGGGGAAGAGGGGTGACAGAGGCAGGAGAGGCTGGGGAGGGGATGGCTTACACAGGGGCTTGTGGGGCTGGGGAGTGGAGCTGAGAGTGGGTCAGCGGGGTTCCAGTGCCCACCTCCCCACACTCCCCCAGACCTTTTCTCCCAACCCATTTCTCCTGGGGCTAGCTGGCTTTGAATTTAGTGGTGGAAATGACTGCCACCTTGAACTTCTAACTTAGCTGGAATTTTACCACCTAGATGCTTGGGTACCTCCAGCAAGGGACCTTCTGAGGGAGGGGCACTCGGGGAGCAAAAAGTCTGAGTTACTAGCAATGTTGACAGTCTCACTTATGGGGTCTCTCAAGGGCCAGGCCCTACCTAATGTATGAAAATGGGCCCAGCCACTGCTAGAAGCAAAGAGGACCATTTCTTTCAACAAGAGAGGGAAACTGAGACTCAGAGATGAATGACTGGCTGAGGTCACGTGGTGAGTAACAGGGCTCAGCCTGGCATCCAGTCCTGTCTGCTTGTCATCACTGAGGGGAGAAGAGATAGTTTCTGAGGGGTCTGGCATTGTTTAGGGAAATGGGTGCCTCTACCTGACCTGAGCCTGCTGTCCTCACAGTGTCCTCAGCCTGGGGGGGCTGCGTGGAGGTGGACTCAGAGACCGAGGCCGTGTACGGGATGACCTTCAAAATTCTGTGCATCTCCTGCAAGCGCCGCAGCGAGACCACCGCTGAAACCTTCACCGAGTGGACTTTCCGCCAGAAGGGCACTGAGGAGTTTGTCAAGGTGTGTGGGGGACGGGCGTGGGCATGGGAGGGCAGGGGTCCATGGGTGGGAGGTGGTGGGGCTGGATATCGGGGAGGGGGCTTGCTTGTTTGTTTTAATAATATGTTGTGGTTGATGACCTGGATCCAGATTCTGGCTCTACCAGTGGCCAGCTGGTGACCTTGGCCAAGCCAGTGAGCCTCTCTGAAAGTCAGTTTCCTCCTCTCTAAAGACGGGGTGGCGGTGGTCTCTAGCCGATAGGTTTGTATGGGAATTGAATGCATTAACGCACCTGGCCCATGGTTGGCACGAAACAAATGCCAATGGACTTATTTGGCACCAGCAAATAGTAATAGTCATTACAGAGGAAGGCAGAACTTTTTTTTTTAACCTCCTTTAAATTACATGTATATTTTGCATTTTGGAGGGAAGAAACCGTAAACTTAGGATGTGCTAGAGAGTTGGGGTCTGAAGCCGCTGGGATCAGGCTGCCTGTCCCTGCTGGAGGAGTGTGTCCGGTGGCTGAGAGAGAACTACGAAGAATGATGGCCCAGAGGCCAGATGGGGCTTGGGAGGATGACTGAGGAATGTGCGTGCGCCTGTGCCTCTCAGGGCTAGAGGCAAAATCAGGGTCTGGCTGGCTCCCGGCGTGATTCTCGCCCCCTGCCCCTGTGTCCTCCCTGCCTGAGGTCAAGGCATCTGAGCCCATGTGTGTGCCATCTGTGTCTATGGGTGTCAGGGCAGGAGACAGAGTCAGGGTCAGGTGAGGGAAGAGAGGCCCAGGCAGTGACACCTCCCACTCCCTGGCTGCCCCCAGATCCTGCGCTATGAGAACGAGGTGTTGCAGCTGGAGGAGGACGAGCGCTTTGAGGGCCGCGTGGTGTGGAACGGCAGCCGGGGCACCAAGGACCTCCAGGACCTGTCCATCTTCATCACCAATGTCACCTACAACCATTCGGGCGACTACGAGTGCCACGTCTACCGCCTGCTCTTCTTTGAGAATTACGAGCACAACACCAGCGTCGTCAAGAAGATCCACATTGAGGTAGTGGACAAAGGTGAGTCCTTTGTCCTGCCTGTCCCTTCACTGTCACCCACCGGCAAGCCAGATGGAGGGACAGATGGCAGGTAGTGGACAGGACAGGCTGGCTCTGTGCCTGACCAGCCAACCACCCACAGCAGTGGGCTGGAGGGGGAGGGGAGAAGCCCCTGCCGCCCGCTGCAGCTCTGGCCTCTGTTTCCCTCCAGCCCACGGAGAGGTCAAAGCACACCTCTCCCCACAGACGCTCCGGGTGCAGAACACAGCTCTGTCACCTGTGCCAGAGTGATCTCTGGCAGGTGCCTTTTGTCTCTGAGCCAAAGGGTTGTCCCAGGCCCCCCCAGGATAATAATCCCATGTGCTTCTTGGGGTGTGGTTTGAGTCATTCTTCCATCATGGGGGTCATGAGGATTGAGCAGCTGCAGTCACATGATCGGCTTCCAGCAGAGCCTGGCACATGGTGACGAGGGTGGCAGTTCTTACAGTTTGAGTAGCTCAGCCCTGCTGCCCTCTGTCATGATGAGGCAAGAAGGCAAGAAAGCGTGCCACCTTGAGCAGAGCCGCCCACCCACCTCTGCTCTCCTGCCACTGGGGAGTCGCACTAGCCTGCAGAGTTTCACTCAGCGTCTCTGGAGCAGGCCCGGGGGCCCTTTATAAAGCTCTCAGGTGAGGCGGTGCAGGGCCACAGGTGTGGGGCCCACGCTCTGAGCAGCAAGGGTCTACACAACATTTTTGAACATCTCATCATTTTGCCTCGGCCACCCTGAACCCCTTCTTTGAGGGAGGTCCGCCCCTTCTCTGAACCATCTCCTGCTCGGCATCAGTTACGATTGTCCAGGGCCCTGTGGCCTCTGGCTGAGAGTCGGGGAGAAAGCCTTGGCTTTGAACCAGCTACAAGCTGTGGCAGAAAGGTCTCTTGGGGTCACAGCACACGAATCCTCACGGGCAACACGCACTGTCCATCCTTTTCATGACACAGGTGCAGGCCTCAGTGCCTTACACGGAGTCCCTTAGTGAATCCTCCCCTGATCCTGTAGGGTAGGGGCTCTTCCTATCTCCATTTTACAGATGAGAAAACTGAGGCTCAGGGAGGGAAAGTTCTGTGGCCAAGATCACATGATCGGGAGCTGGACATGAACCCAGGGAAGCTTGGGTGACTGCGTCTCTGTTCGTGGCCATGATTCACTGTATGGTTATCAGCCAGAGCCTGTGGGTCTCTTTTTATAATTAGCATTTTAATGTTTATTGTCAAAGTGGTGTAGCAGAACGCAATTCAGCAGGCATGTCTGAGCCACTCTGGCGTTCATCACGATGCTGGGCGGGGGAGTGGGGGTCAGCTGCGGACATGGATGATGGCACCCCGCTCGCAGAGTTGCTGTGACAAAGACGCCCCCGGTACTGGGGCTTAACAAAACCTGTGTTATTGCTCTTGCTGATCTGCAGAGGTGAGACAGAGAGAGGGTGGGAGGCTTCAGGGCGCTGTTCAGCCACCCGGGTTCGTTCCATCTTGTTGCTTGGCACTCGGCCAGGGTGCTGTGTCCTCTGGACACTGTGACCCAGTAGTGCCTCTCTATTTTTTATTTTAACTTTTATTTTTTGAGATGGAGTCTGGCTCTTGTTGCCCAGGCTGGAGTGCAATGGTGTGATCTTGGCTCACACCATTGTGTGAGCCAAGTTGCAGTGTGATCACTTGCAACCTCTGCCTCCTGGGTTCAGGTGATTCTCCTGCCTCAGCCTCCCGAGTAGCTGGGATTACAGATGCCAGCCACCACGCCCAGCTAATTTTCGTATTTTTAGTAGAGACAGGGTTTCAGCACACTGGCCAGGCTGGTCTTGAACTCCTGTTCTCAGGTGATGATCCACCTCCCTCGGCCTGTCAAAGTGCTGGGATTACAGGTGTGAGCCACCGTGCCTGACCTGAGCCTCTCTTTTTTAGGATTGTCCACTGTATCACGCCACCTCCCAGAGCCCGTGTTTTCACCAGCGTTTACCATCGTATGCAGTTACTTATGTTGGGCCCTGCAGAGTTTGCGTTTTCTGCACTAGTCACCCAATTCTAGTGTTTTTTTTATCTGCCATATGGTAGTACTGCCTTTTAAACATTACCTGCTATAGTATATTATTTTATATTACCCACTATAGTATATTTTATAATATACTATTGTAATATCATCAAACATACAACAGGTTTTTTGTTTTTTGTTAAAGAGAGACAGAATCTCACTCTGTTACCCAGGCTGAAATACTGTGGCATGATCATAGTCCATGGTAGCTTCCAACTCCCGAAATCCAGCGATCCTCCTGTTTGAGCCTCCCAAGTAGCTGGGATTACAGGTGTGAGCCACCATGCCCGGCTAATTATTTTTTTTCTTTTGTAGAGACTGGATCTTGCTATGTTGCCCAGGATGGTCTCGAACTCCTGGCCTCAAACAGTCTTCCCACCTTCGCTGTCCTAAGTGCTGGGATTACAGGCGTGAGCCTCCGCACATGGTCTACAGTACTTTTATCGTAATCCATCATACTAGAGTATTTTTAACATTCCCCACCATGGTGGGTATTTTTATTACCCAACATTCTATGCTATATTATTTTAAAAATTAATCCTATTGCAGCATTTGAAAATATTCCATCTATACTATACTATATTCTTCATTACCCTGATACTACAGTATTTTTTTTTTTTTTTTGAGACAGAGTCTCACTCAGTCACCCAGGCTAGAGTGCAATGGCGGTCCTCTGCTTGTTACAACCTCTGCCTCCTGGGTTCAAGTGATTCTCCTGCCTCAGCCTCCTGAGTAGTTGGGATTATAGGTGCGTGCACCACAGCTGGCTAATTTTTGTATTTTTAGTAGATACATGGTTTCACTATGATGACCAGGCTGATCTTGAACTCCTGACCTCATAATCCACCTGCCTCGGCCTCCCAAAGTGCTGGGATTACCGGCATGAGCCACCATGCCTGGCCCGATACTATAGTATTTTTAACGTGACTCACTGCGCTACAGTATTTTTTATTACCTACAATATATATTATTGTATTTGTCAGCACTGCCTGCCATTCCTTATTTATTTATTTTGAGATGGAGTCTTGCTCTGTTGCCCAGGCAGGCTGGAGTGCAGTGGTACAATCTCGACTCACTGCACCTCCCAGATTCAAGTGATTCTCCTGTCTCAGCTTCCCAGGTAGCTGGGATTACAGGTGCATGCCACCGTGCCCAGCTAGTTTTTGTATTTTTAGTAGAGACAGGGTTTTACCACATTGGCCGGGCTGGTCTTGAACTCCTGACCTCAGGTTATCTACCTGCCTTGGCCTCCCAAAGTGCTGGGATTACAGGCATGAGCTACCACGCCCAGCCTATTATTATTATTTTGAGTCAGGGTCTCACTCTGTCACCCAGGCTGGAGTGCAGTGGCATGATCTTGACTCACTATAGCCTCCGCCTCCCGGGTTCAAGTGGTACTTCTGTCTCAGCCTCCAAAGTAGCTGGGATTACAGGCATGTACCACCATGCCCAGCTAATTCTTTTGTACTTTTAGTAGAGACGGGGTTTCGCGATGTAGACCAGGTCTCGAAATCCTGGCCTCCAGTGGTCCACCCACCTCAGCCTCCCCAAGTGCTGGGATGACACATATGAGCCACCACACCAAACTTTTTATTATTTTCATCTGCAGTCTTGCTGCAATTTCAGTATTGGCAATCAACCTATATTGCCTCCTGGTAATGACCCCTGAGGAATTTGCCATTTCATTTCCATAGGAGGAGGGGACGGGCTTTGATGGTGAGAACCTCACTGACCTGGGAGAGGTGGCAAAGCTACTGGGAAGCTGCTGGGGGTGGCTCACCTATGGTAGGAGCTGGCAGACAGGGACCCACGGGGACAGTAATCCTATTTTGGACACACACAACCTGAGTGGAAAATGCCTTGAGGCACAGCAGCGTCTGAGGCGGGTGAGAAATCCGGCCTGCAGAGTCGTGGCTGGCCTTCAGATCTGCAGGCTGCCTGTGGCATGCCGTGTTACCTAAATCTGTTTGGGCACTGAGTTCCAGGAGCAGGGGCAAGAATTCCAATAACGGGGCTTTATCCAGTGTGTATCCAGCTCAGAGTGGTTTCTGAGGCCAGCTGCTGTGGGCAGCCAGGATGCATTTGTCCTTGAGGTTTTCCGGGGCATCAAGGCGATGTTTGGATAAAGAATTTAGCACAGCAGGCGCCTACTACATGAGACACACTAACAATGTCTGTGGAGGCCGGGCACAGTGTTATCCTGTTATCCCAGCACTTTGGGAGGCCAAGATGGGAAGACTGCTTGAGACCAGGAGTTCAAGACCAGCCTGGGCAACACAGCGAGACCTCATCTCCACCAAAAAAAAAAAAAAAGAAAAAAGAAAAAAGTAGAAAATTCACTGGGCCTGGTGGTGCATACTTGTGGTCCCAGCTAGTCAGGAGGCTGAGGCAGGAGGATTGCTTGAGCTCGGGAGTTTCCGGCTGCAGTGAGCTATGATTGCACCACTGCACTCCAGCCTGAGCAATAGAGCAAGACCCTGTCTCTTGAAAAAAATAAAGAAGTCTGTTGAAAATAATGAAGGAAGGAAGGAAGGAATGAGAAGGGAACCCTGTCCTGGCTCCTTCTGTAGGGAAGCTGGGGCAGGGCAGGCGGGGGGAGCATCCAGTCCCACTCCCTCCCTCACTCTGGCCCAGAAAGCACTGGTGCCATCTGTATAGGGAGGAGCCACAGAAAGTGCCCCACTCACAGCAGAGGGAGGCCATGTGAGGACAGCAGGGAAAATGGGATCTCAGCCATCCGGGAGCGGGCCAGAGAAGTGGGATGGACACTTAGGAAATCCAGCCGAGGACGACGCAGTGGCTTCTGACTCTGGTCCCCTGGCTGAGCGCGTTCCCTTTACAGTTTAAATTTAGGCTCAAGGAGAAGTTGGCAATTGGCAGGGCCATGCGGTAGAGAGGATGTAGGGTTTCCAGAAAATTGCCAACACTTGGGCAGTGCTGGCTGTGTGCTCATCCAAGCATGTTACGGACTTTAACTCATTTCCTCTCCCAGCAACTCCCTGAGAGGGTCTGAGTATTCCCATCTCCATTTTACAGAGGCTCAGAGAGGTGCCATCATTTGCCTGAGGCCACGCAGCTAGTAAGAAGCAGAGTCAGGATTTGAACCCTGGCAGTCTTGTCCCAGAGCCCAGGCTTTTGACCATTAGCTATACTGCCCCAGTTATAACAACAATAATAATATTAATAAAAATGAACCTTTATTGAGTGCTATTTATAGATCAAGCTCTCTTCTAAGGATTTTTTTTTTTTTTTTTGAGACGGAGTTTCGCTCTTGTTACCCAGGCTGGAGTGCAATGGCGCGATCTCGGCTCACTGCAACCTCCACCTCCTCGGTTCAGGCAATTCTCCTGCCGCCTCAGCCTCCTAAGTAGCTGGGATTACAGGCATGTGCCACCATGCCCAGCTATTTTTTTTGTATTTTTAGTAGAGACGGGGTTTCACCATGTTGACCAGGATAGTCTCGATCTCTTGACCTTGTGATCCACCCGCCTCGGCCTCCCAAAGTGCTAGGATTACAGGCTTGCGCCACCGCGCCCAGCCTTCTTCTAAGGATTTTTAAAGCATATTTCATTCTCACAGCACTCTGATGAAGGAGGCATTTTAAGTATCAACATTTTACAGTTGAAGAAACAGAGGCCCAGAGACATTGAGCCACTTGTCTAAGATCACACAGCTGACTAGTGGCAGAGCCAGCCTTTGAACCTCAGCCTTTTGGTTGCAGAGCTTCGGCTTTTAGGCCGTGAATGATGCAGATGTGCCCTCGAGTTACACAGGGAGGCAGGTCGAGGGTGACCCCCACCAGGCCTACCCAAGGCTGGGTATTCATAATCACAGTGCACACACCAGGCCCAGGGAGGCCGAGCTACTTGCCCAAGCTCACACAGCAAGCTTACCCCACACCCGGGCTGTCCTGCAGCCAACAGAGACATGGCGTCCATCGTGTCTGAGATCATGATGTATGTGCTCATCGTCGTGCTGACCATATGGCTCGTGGCAGAGATGGTTTACTGCTACAAGAAGATCGCTGCCGCCACGGAGACTGCTGCACAAGAGAACGCGTGAGTGGGGTGACTGGGAGGCAGGAGGGCACCCAGGGCACCGTCACACCTACAGGCTGAGGGGTGGGGAGCGACCCAGGGGGCCATCTCTCAGTACTCGAGGAGGGGAGTGCTTTCTGTCAAACATGGGATAGGGGGTGTTGGGCCCAGCCCCTTCCTCAAACTCAAGAGCCCACCATAGCCCCCTCCACTCTCGAAGGAGCCCTGTGTACCCGGGGCAGAGACCGCTACCCTCCCTGTCCCCTGGGGGTTGGGTCAGTCTGATGATGGGGTCACTGTACACCTGGCCTTTCCCCCACAGCTCGGAATACCTGGCCATCACCTCCGAAAGCAAAGAGAACTGCACGGGTGTCCAGGTGGCCGAATAGCCCTGGTAAGGCAGATGAGTGGGCAGGGGACCCGGGATTGGGAGGGGCGGAAGTCCCCCAGGTCCCTAATTCCCGGTCTCTTGCACCCCTTCAGGCCCTGGGCCCTCCTCAAGGAAGAGCCAGCCCTAATGGGGACTCTCTAGACACCGCCTGCCCCCATTTGGGGTGGGGTGGCCGCTTCTGGGCCCCGGAAAGCCTCAGAGTCCTGCCGACAGAGCCGCCGGGGAGGGAGCGGGCAGGGGGCTTGGCTCGCACCCCCACCTTCGCCTCCTCCAGCTCCTGCCCCCCGGCCGCGCACCGCCATGCATGATGGGTAAAGCAATACTGCCGCTGCCCCCACCCTGCTTCTGCTGCCTGTTTGGGGAGGGGGGCGGTGAGGTGGGGGCAGCGGCCCCGCACCCCTCCTCCTTGCTAATTTGCACACATTGGCCGCTTCAGACACGCACTTCTGGGGCCAGCCCCTCCCCGCCTCCTCCCTGCCCGGGGGCAGGGGTCGCGAGGGTGGGCTGGAGCCGTTTGGGGCAACGGGTTCTGGGGCCCACTCCGACTCTCCCTCCCCAGCATCATTTCCCCTCCCGCTTCCTCCGGCTGGACCTGGGGTCCCTGTCCCCGTGATGCACTCCTGCCCCGGCCCAACCTCGCTCTCTCTCACCAGCCTTGAACTGTGGCCACCTAGAAAGGGGCCCATTCAGCCTCGTCTCTCTTTACAGAAGTAGTTTTGTTCATGAAATAAAGACTCTTGGACTTGATGCAGAGTTTTGATTATGAGCCCCGTCCGGCACCTTCCCACGTTCCCATCCCCAAATCCTAGGGCCGGCTTCCTAGGGCCCCTGCCTGTGGGCCACAGGTGAAGCCACTTTAGTGCCTGGTCTGTGTCGGGCTCGGGTTAGGGGAGCCATTCTCTCAGCGGGGACCAAGAGTGGTGAGGGAGAGTGGGATGGAGCCAGGAAGGGAGGGGGTGCCGTGGAGGGAAGAGAGGGGAGGCTCAAGCTGGCGCGCAGGGCTTTCACGGGGTGTGCGGTGTGCCCAGCAGTGTGGGTCTCGAGACGTGGGCGCCGGGGAGGAGAGGGAAGGACAGCGGGGTACGGATGGAGAGGCAGAGGAAGCCAGGCCAAGGCAGCGTGTCCCAGTGAGGGCCCCGGCTGAGTGGAGGAGATGGAAGCGGTGAGGGTGGGTTTGGCTGGGCACAGCGGGCACCTGTGGGTGAGCGGGTGGGGCCGGTGGTGCAGGCGGCCTATCTGGGGCAAGCCGCCGAGGCCGACTGTGTCCGGCGTGTGGCGGAGGGGGCAGGTGTCTGACGGTGACCCTGTGCGTCTGGTGTTTGCCTGGCCCTGGGTCTGACGTGGACCGTGCCTGGCTGCTGGCGGGACAGTGTGTTATCTGCCCGCGGACGCTTCCGGCCACTCGGCCTGGGCCTCTGCCCTCAGCGCTGTGTTTTCCGGGCCAAGCCCCCCCATCCCCCTATCTAGTGCTAGGACTTTCTGGCTCCAGAGGTCACCGCGGCCGGGCGGAGGCTGCCAAAGCAAACCAGCCCCGTGACTTGTAGGAAGGCCGCGGGGGAGGGGCCGGGGGAGGATGAGCAGGGCAGGCGGGAGGGGCCGGGGCTGGGGTCGGGGCCCGGGAATTGGGCAGGGGATCGGGCAGGGGTGTAGGAAGTGGCGGGCTCAGCCCGGACCCTGGGCTGGAGGGCGCAGGCAGGGCGCGGGGAGGGGTCGCCGGGCGGGCGTGGAGTGGGCTTAGGGCAACTGGGGCCCTCCGTGGGATTTCCTAGGGTCAGACCCCCGCCCTTGAGCCCGGTAGGCGCCCCCAGCCTGCACTTTCTCCCTAACCCCCCAGCCTCCAGCCAGGGGACTGTTCCCACGTCTCCGCAGGCAGCCACACCTGGGTCCCTCTGGAGCCCCGTCGCTGAGCCCGCCTGGTCCAGCCCCTGTAAGCCCGGCCCCATCAGCCAGGTGGCCTCCAGCGCTGCCAATCGAATGGTCCGGCCCCTCCCCGCCCCTTCGCCCGCCCCTCGCCCAGCCCCCTCCCCCTCAGGTGAGGCAGCCTGGCCTAGCAGGTCCCACGCCACCGCCTCTGCCTCCGGGCCGCCCGCTGTTGCGGGGCCACCATGCTCCTGCCCAGGCCTGGAGACTGACCCGACCCCCGCAGCACCTCGAGGCTCCGCCCCCACCTGCCGGACCCCAGGGTAAGGACCAGGGCCCCCAGACTCACAGTTCCAGCCCTGAGGACAAGGGGTTCCCTCGCTCCCCTACCCAGCCTAACCTCCTAATAGAGGGGTTTCCCGGGACCTGAAGAGGGGCTCTGTGACATCCCCCCCAGCACCTAGGTGTCCTGGCCTGCTCTTCCTTGAGACTCAGAAGTTGGACCTCCGTCCTTTCCTCCCTAGACCCAGGAGTTCCAGCCCTCAGGCCCCTCCTCCCTCATACTAATGAGTCCTGGTCCCCAAATTCCTCCGTTCCCAGGACTCCTGATTTCAGGTCCTCAGCCATCTCCTCCCTCAAATCCAGATCCTCAGTCCCCTGCTCCACCAGGCTTAGGCATGGGGGTCCCCAGCCCTGCAAATCCAGGTGTCCCCCGGCTGCTGGTCAGACACTGACCCCATCCTTGAACCCAGCCCAACCTGCATCCGTGATCACGGCGTGCTCTGGCCAAGGCCCAGTCCCTACAGCCTGCCTGGATGGACGCCTGGGACTGGGGGCGCCAGGACTGGGCTGGGCTGGGCTCCCCCAGGCCCTGCTTCCCCGTCCATCTCCTCACAGGTCCCACCCTGGCCCAGGAGGTCAGCCAGGGAATCGTTAACAAGAGGCTGTGACATGGCGCAGAAGGAGGGTGAGTCCTCTTCCCTGAGCCCCAGCTTTGGCTCTGCCTGGCGCCCCGCCTTCTGTGCTCTCTTCTCTACCCTCCACCCCTTCGGAGCCCCCTCTCTCTGGCCACCCCTCCCAGATGCATCCCCACCCCTCTTAGTCCTCCTCCACCTGATTAACTATTAACCACATTTTCTGTGCAGCTGTGCCACCACCAGCCTCCCTGCTACCCTATATGACCTTCCTGGCACCCTGCCTCAGTTTCCCCTCATCCCCCATTGATTTCTCAGCTAACCCTGGACTTGTCCTCTCCTGGGGCTGAGGCGGGGAGGCTGTAGCTGTCATGGTTAAGGACGCAGGTTTGGAGTCAGACACAAGCTTGCATTGGAATTTGCTCCTGCCACCTTTTTCTGCTGTGTGATCTTGTGCAAGCGACACTATCTCAGGGCTTTGGTCTCCCCCTGGGTCAAGTATGGATCTCAGTCCTCCCTCTGTGAGGTTGCTGAGTGCATGAGACACACCAGGCACTGGCTTGGGGCTCCGCACGTGGGACGCATGCCATCAACTAGGGCTGTGGTGACAGAGGCTGGCAGGCTCTGAGTCCCAGAGACCCGGGACCCCCACTGGTTCCAGACATTCCTCCACCTCCTGGCTCTGTGGGCAAAAGAGCAGAGGAAGGACTTTGGACTCGACCTGGATGGATGGAGAGGGGAGAGACGGCAGAGAAACCACCATAGGGATGACAGCGAGAGGCTGCCTGATGGGGTTGCTGGCCCATGGGGAGCTCCGGGCAGCCCTCGGCTAGCCCGGCTTTCTTTCTACCTCACGAGGGACCCAGCTGGAGGGGCGCGTGGAGGGGCGGCCTGCTCTTTCTGTCTTCCCCTAGCTGGGGCTGACTCCTTCTCTTCTTGCTGCAACCAGGCTGGCTGGCTCAGTCCCAGGCAGTAGCACTTTCTAGCTGTGTGGCCCTGGGTAGGCGGTGTGTCCTCGATGGGCCTCCATTCCCTCACCTGTGAAATGGAAAGGGTGACGGTTGCATGCTTGACAGTGTGGGGTGAGGCCTGAAATGCCAGGATGGGCAGCAGGCACTGAGTGTCTTGGCTGGAATAATTAGTTTGGATCTCTGGCCTCTTCAGGTCCTGGCACAGCTGGCAATTGAAACCCCAAACCATTCAGCTGTGGTCCAGAGGGAACCCAGGCTCCTAGTTATCCAGAAGGCATTGCATCCTAGCCGAGCAGGAATATGACAGAGTCCAGCTCCAGGTGGACGACCTCTTTCCTGGAGCTGCCGGAAGGACAGCACCAGGGCTTGGGCCTATGGGTGAATGAACTAGGGAAGAAAAGCAGAGGCTGGGCGCAGTGGCTCACACCTGTAATCCCAGCACTTTGGGAGGCCAAGGAGGGTGGATCACAAGGTCAGGAGTTCAAGACCAGCCTGACCAATATGGTGAAACTCTGTCTCTACTAAAAACACAAAAATTAGCTGGGCGTGGTGGTGTGCACCTGTAGTCGCAGCTACTTGGGAGCCTGAGGCAGGAGAATCGCTTGAACCTGGGAGACAGGTTGCAGTGAGCCGAGATTGCACCACTGCACTCCAGCCTGGGCAACAGAGCGAGACACCATCTCAGAAAGAGAAAGAAAGAAGAACAGAAAATACCTGGATGGACAGAGATGGCCTGGGTTCAAAGAGAAACAGACACAAAGTGGGCTCTGGGTGTCTTCCTAGCAGCTCCGGGCTGGTCTCGAGGGCTGGGGGCATGGGGGTCGAACCTGGACACAGATGCTGAAAGGTTCTGATGCTGCACTTACTTGCTGGGTGACCAGGGGTTGGTGGCTGCCAGACTTTGGGCCTCTCTTTCTCATCTGTAAACTGGGGGTGGCGGCAATGGCGCCTTCCTGGTGAACGGCTGCAAAGATTTAAGGATGCTGTGCAGAACTGGACGGGGTTAGGGCAGGGCGGTGCATCTGTGTGTTTCTGAGAGCCACTGTGGGTGCAGCGGCTGCTGGTGGTGGTGGTACTGTTGTTGCTGCTGGCTTCTGGGAAGCTAGGGAACTTGGAATTGGAGGAGGTGATATCAGAGTTGCCATTCAAGGATGCCAGGCAGAGGGAAGAGCAAGGCTCTTGCTCTTCCCTGGGAAGCTGGGAGGTGACACAGTGCTGGCATGCACATAGCCAGTTGTATTTCTGGAAGTGCAGTTGGAAGTGGGGCTGGGTGGGAGATGAGGTGTGCAAGCTGGACCAGGCTGCCATGAGGCTGTTTTGGGGACGGGTGGGCCAATTCCTCACAGTGCTGGGTCTCTCCACAAGGTGGCGCCAGTGGTTAGCCCCTGCTTCTCCTGTCTAACTTGTATTTTACAAGTTCTACTATTTGAGTTGCTTTTTGGACGCTCTCTTGGTGCCTGATAATGACCCACATGGTTGTCTGGGAATTGGGGGAAATATCTGTTCAACTCCCAAATCTCTGAAAGCCATGCTTATATCCTAGTGGGGCTGGAAATGCCAGGCTGAGGGTCTTAGGCTGTCCTGGGGGTACTAGGGAGTCACAGAGGATACTATAGGTAAAGAAGGGGGTAGGTTGGATTTGGTGTCTAAGTAGATTCCCCAAGCCTCCGTGTGGAGGGCAGGCTAGAAGGGAAGACTGAGTCTAGTGGTTGGATGGGGCTGGAGCAAGGTGGAGCTGGAGGGAGAGAAGGAACGGGGAGGAGAGTCACTCAGGAGGATTGGCAGGCTGTTGGGGGAGGGGAATGTTCTGCAGACAAGGACGGTCCTAGGAGTGAGGGTCTCTGAGATAGGACCTGGGAGGAAGAATATATTTGGGGAGCCATTGAGGCCATTCTGGGACCTAGTGGGGGCAAAGGGACTAGGAGGTCCCAGGGAAAGGTATTTAAGGGACTGCAGGAGCCCTGACCTGGGACATAGAAGAGATTCTAAGGCTGAGGACAGA